GGCTCCCTTTTCCCTTTTCCATTTCCCATTTCCCTCTTTCCCATTTCCATTCCCATTTCCCACAGCTCCTGCTGAGTGCCCGCTGCAGCTCCATCCTGGACAGGCAGGAGAAGCTCCAGGGCTCCCTTTTCCATTTCCCATTCCCATTTCCATTCCCATTCCCATTCCCATTCCCATTCCCATTCCCACGTCCCACAGCTCCTGCTGAGTGCCCGCTGCAGCTCCATCCTGGACCATCAGCTGGCGGAGAAGCGGCAGATGCAGGCGGAGCAGCGGGCGGAGGAGCAGCGCCTGCAGCGGCTCATGGACAGCGAGCAGGAGAAGGAGCTGCAGCTGCAGGACGAGCTGGAGCGCTGCAGGAAGCAGGAGCTCATCAGGTCCGTGCTTCCTTTTCCTTTTCCTCTTCCCTTTTCCTCTACCCTTTCCCCTTCTTTTCCCTCTCCTCTTTTTAGCTTATCTCTTTTCCCTTATCTCTTCTCCCTTTCCCCATTCTTTTTTTCCTCTTCCCTTTCCCCTTTCTCCTTTTCCTTTCCCCCTTTCTTTTCCCTTTCCCTTCTTTTCTGTTTCCCCTTTCCCTCTTTTCCCTTCTTCCCTTTCTTTTTCCCTCTTTCCCTATCCCCTTTTCCCTTTCTTTCCCATCCTTTTCCTTCTTTTCCCTTTTTTTGCCTTTTCCCTTTCTACCCTTTCTCCTTTCCCCTTTTTCCTTCTTTCCCCTCCTTTTTTCCCTATCTCCTTTCCCTCTTTTTCCTTTCTCCCTCTTTCCCCTTTCCCTTTTTTTCTCCTTTTCCCCTTTTCTTTTTCTCCTTTTCCATTTCACTTTCTCCCCCTTTCCCTTTCCCCTCCTTTTCCCTTCCCCACCCCATACACTCCAACTCCACAATTCTGGAACCAGAACAGAACTTTTCCATTCCCAAATTCCCGAATTCCCAAATAATTCCCGAATGCTTCCCGAATTCCCAGCACCAAGCTGGAGGTGCTCCAGCAGATAGAGCAGAGGCAGGAGCAGCGGGCGCTGAGGGCCGAGCAGAAATTCCAGGAGGGCCAGAGGTTCATGGAGCGCCTGGAGCAGATGAAGAGGGAGGATCGCGAGGTGGGAGATTCCCAGCGGGAATTCAGGAATTCGGGAATTTGGGAATTTGGGTTAGAAGGGCTGGGAAGGGCGTGGGGCAGGATCGGGGCTCTGGTGGCCTTGGGGACGTGGTGGCATCAGTGAGAGGGGGACACGGAGCTGCTGGGGATCCCAGAGATTGGGGATCCCAAGGAATGGGGGTCCTCATGAGGGGGATCCCAGGGGTTTGGGATCCCAGGGAATGGGGATCTATAGCAGGGGAATCCCAGGGAATGGGAGAACCCAGAGGTTTGGGATCCCATGGAATTGGGATCTATAGCAGGGGAATCCCAGGGGTTTGGGATCCCAGGGAATGGGGGATCCCGGGAAATTTGGGATCTCAGGGGTTTGGGATCCCAGGGAATGGGGATCCATAGCAAGGGGATTCCAGGGCTTTGGGATCCCATGGAATTGGGATCTATAGCAGGGGAATCCCAGGTGTTTGGGGATCCCGGGGAATGGGGGATCCCGGGAAATTGAGGATCCCAGGCGTTTGGGGATCCCGGGGAATGGGGATCCCACGGAACTGGGATCCCCGTGGGAAGGCGGGGTTTTCGGGACTCTGCGGTGACGGGACCGCTGTCCCCGCGCTGTCCCCGCGCTGTGGCCAGGCCTGGCAGCAGCAGCAGCAGCGCAAGCGGCAGCTCCTGGCCGAGATGAAGGCGGTGGACGCGGAGAACCAGCGGCTGCGACAGCGCGACAGGGAGCGCGACAGGCGCGACGAGCTGCGGGCCCTGGAGGAGCAGCGCCAGAAGGGGGTGAGGGCGGGGCTGGCAGGGCACTGTCACCTCCCCTGGGGCACTGTCACCTCCCCCGGGGCGCTGTCACCTCTCCCGGGGCGCTGTCACCTCCCACAGGGTGCTGTCACCTCCCACAGGGTGCTGTCACCTTCCGGGGCTTTGTCACCTCCCCAGGACTTTGCCACCTTCCCAGGGTTCTGTCCCCCACTGTGTGTCCCTGTCCCCAGCCGATGTCCCTGTGACACAGCTGGCCCAGGGTCACAGTGGTGTCCTCGTGTCCCCAGCGGTGTCCCTGTCCCTGTGTCGCTGTCCCGGCGGGGCTGGCAGGGCACTGTCACCTCCCCTGGGGCACTGTCACCTCCCCCGGGGCGCTGTCACCTCTCCCGGGGCGCTGTCACCTCCCACAGGGTGCTGTCACCTCCCACAGGGTGCTGTCACCTTCCGGGGCTTTGTCACCTCCCCAGGACTTTGCCACCTTCCCAGGGTTCTGTCCCCCACTGTGTGTCCCTGTCCCCAGCCGATGTCCCTGTGACACAGCTGGCCCAGGGTCACAGTGGTGTCCTCGTGTCGCTAGCTGTGTCCCTGTCCCTGTGTCGCTGTCCCCAGCGGTGTCCCTCTCCCGGTGTCGCTGTCCCTGTGCCGGTGTCACTATCCCCAGCGGTGTCGCTGTCCCCAGCGGTGTCCCTGTCCCGGTGTCGCTGTCCCCGTGCCGGTGTCGCTGTCCCCAGCGGTGTCGCTGTCCCCAGGAGCGGGACGCGGCGCTGGCGGCGGAGCGGGCGCGGCTGCGGCAGGAGCGGCAGCGGGAGCTGGAGCGGCTCAAGGCCACGCAGGAGCACGAGCGGGGCTGGCAGGAGGCGCAGGTGGGTGGCACTGCCACCTCTGTCCCCTCCCCGGGGCTCTGTCACCTCCCCAGGGTGCTGTCACCTCCCCGGGGCTCTGCGGACCAAGCGCAGCCAGGTGGCGGCAGAACGGCAGTGGCGCGACCGGGAGCTGTCCCTGTCCCCAGTGTCCCAAATGTCCCTAATATCCCCAATGTCCCCAGCGTCCCTTGTCTCTGTCCCTGTCCCCAATGTCCCCAATGCCCCCAGTGTCCCCTGTCCCTGTCACTGTCCCCAATGTCCCCGCAGGAGGCTCTGCGCTCCAGGCGCAGCCAGGAGGCGGCGGAGCGGGACTGGCGGCACCGGGAGCTGTCCTTGTCCCCACTGTCCCCACTGTCCCCAGTCCCTGTCACCGTCCCAGTGTCCCCGGTGTCCCCGCAGGAGGCTCTGCGCTCCAAGCGCAGCCAGGAGGCGACGGAGCGGGACTGGCGCTGCCGGGAGCTGTCCCTGTTCCCACTGTCCCCACTGTCCCCAGTATCCCCACTGTCCCCAGTGTCCCTAGTGTCCCCAGTGTCCCCAAACCTGCCATGTCCCGGTGCAAACCTGGTAGAGCTCCAATCTCCCTGTCCCCAGTGTCCCCAATGTCCCCACTGTCCCCTGTCCCTGTCACTGTCCCCAGTGTCCCCGGTGTCCCCGCAGGAGGCTCTGCGCTCCAGGCGCAGCCAGGAGGCGGCGGAGCGGGACTGGCGCTGCCGGGAGCTGTCCCTGTCCCCAGTGTCCCCACTGTCCCCAATGTCCCCAGTGTCCCCAATGTCCCTGTCACCGTCCCAGTGTCCCCGATGTCCCCGGTGTCCCCGCAGGAGGCTCTGCGCTCCACGCTCAGCCAGGTGGCACCGGAGCGGGACTGGCGCTGCCGGGAGCTGTCCTTGTCCCCAGTGTTCCCAGTGTCCCTAGTGTCCCCTGTCCCTGTCACTGTCCCCAGTGTCCCCGGTGTCCCCGCAGGAGGCTCTGCGCTCCAGGCGCAGCCAGGAGGCGGCGGAGCGGGACTGGCGCTGCCGGGAGCTGTCCCTGTTCCCACTGTCCCCACTGTCCCCACTGTCCCCAGTGTCCTCACTGTCCCTAGTGTCCCCTGTCCCTGTCACCGTCCCAGTGTCCCCGATGTCCCCGGTGTCCCCGCAGGAGGCTCTGCGCTCCACGCTCAGCCAGGTGGCACCGGAGCGGGACTGGCGCTGCCGGGAGCTGTCCTTGTCCCCAGTGTTCCCAGTGTCCCCAGTGTCCCCTGTCCCTGTCACTGTCCCCAGTGTCCCCGGTGTCCCCGCAGGAGGCTCTGCGCTCCAGGCGCAGCCAGGAGGCGGCGGAGCGGGACTGGCGGCTCCGGGAGCTGCAGCGGGAGCGGCGCCGCGCGGAGCTGCTGCAGGAGCTGCAGCGGGAGCGCTGCGAGCAGGCGACAAAGCGGCGACAGCAGCTGGCGCTGGCACTGCAGCAGGAGCGCCGCGACTTCCTCGCCCTGCTCAGGTGGGTGGCACCGGGGCTGCCACGGGGACGGCGGGGGGTTGGGGACACCGGTGTCACCCAGGTGTGAGCAGGTGGCTCTGGCAGGTCCCTGTGCCATCCTGGCGGCTCTGGGGACACCAGTGTCACCCAGGTGTGAGCAGGTGGCTCTGGCAGGGTCCCTGTGCCATCCTGGCGGCTCTGGGGACACCAGTGTCACCCAGGTGTGAGCAGGTGGCTCTGGCAGGGTCCCTGTGCCATCCTGGCGGCTCTGGGGACACCGGTGTCACCCCGGGCGCTGTGCCAGTCGTGCCCAGGGGGCTGTGTCGGTGTCCCCAGTGTCACAGTGTCACAGCTGTGCCAGTGTCACTGTGCCAATGTCCCCGTGTCCCCAGTGCCCAGGAGCAGCAGCTGCTGGCACAGCAGCGGGCACAGCGCCAGTGTCACAGTGGTGTCCCCGTGTCCCCAGTGCCCAGCAGGAGCAGCAGCTGGCACAGCAGCCGGCACAGTGACAATGCCAGTGTCACAGTGGTGTCCCCGTGTCCCCAGTGCCCAGGACCAGCAGCTGGCACGGCAGCGGGCACAGTGACAATGCCAGTGTCACAGTGCCAATGTCCCCGTGTCCCCAGTGCCCAGGAGCAGCAGCTGGCACGCGAGCAGGACCAGCAGCTGGCACGGCAGCGGGCACAGCGCGCCCACGCGGAGGCGCTGCAGGAGCAGATCCGGGAGTCGCGACAGCGGCGACAGCGCGACAGAGCCGCGGCCATCGAGGAGGGACAGCGGGAGCTGGCACGGGAGCGGGAGCGGGCAGAGCGCCTGGCACGCGTGGGACGGCAGAAACTGCAGCGCCTCAGGTGAGGTGCCACCTCTGTCACCCGCGGTGTCGCCTCTGTCACCCCCTGTGCCACTTCTGTCACCCCCTGTGCCACCTCTGTCACCCCCTGTGCCACCTGCTGTGTCACTTCTGGCACCTCTGTCACCCCCTGTGCCACCTCTGTCACCCCCTGTGCCACCTCTGTCACCCCCTGTGCCACTTCTGTCACCCCCTGTGCCACCTCTGTCACCCCCTGTGCCACCTCCTGTGTCACTTCTGGCACCTCTGGCACTTCCTGGCACCTCTTCTTTCACCTCTGTCACCCCCTGTGCCACTTCTATCACCCCCTGTGCCACCTGCTGTGCCACTTCTGGCACCTCTGTCACCCCCTGTGCCGCCTCTGTCACCCCCTGTGCCACCTGTGTCACACCCTGTGTCACCTCTGTCACCCCCTGGGCCACCTCTGTCACCTCTATGCCACTTCTGTCACCCCCTGTGCCACCTGCTGTGCCACTCCTGGCACCTCTCCTGTCACCTGTGCCACCTCCTGTGTCACCTCCTGGCACCGCTGATGTCCCCTCCTGTGTCACTGTGTCCCCTGCAGGGACACCGGTGTCCCCGACAGGTACTGTGCCCTGGTGGAAAAGAGAGTCTGGGCCACGGCCACCTCCTGATGCCACCCACTGTCACCCTGCCACCTCCTGATGCCACCCTGCTGCCACCCTGCCACCTCCTGCTGCCACCCTGCCACCTGCTGATGCCACCTCTGATGCCAGCTGCCGTTCCCCAGGGATCTGGGGGACATTTCCCCTTTTTTCCATGGTTTGAGCCCATTTTTTCTCTCTTTTTTACCCATTTTTTTTT